GCGTTCTAACATGCATCAGTGTCGCCAATGCCGCCTCCGCCATACAGTCCGCCTAGAGGTCAACAGCAGCGTCCCATGAGTACCGTCTTCGACTCTACGCCAGCTGGTACTCCGACTCCACCGCCTCGACTTAGCACAATGGTGCACCGGCCTTCGCCCGAGCCAGCTAATGCATCGTTTCCTCCTCCTCCGCCGGGTGTAAATGGGCGAAATTGTTCACGAGATCGCCGCTTTCTGCCATCCTTAGCTCGCCGTAGAGATATGGACACCTCTAGTACTCCTCCACCTCAGCCGCCGCCTCCTCAAGCCCATCGACAGAGCATGATCGTACAAACTTCGTTTCATCAACCTGCTCCCGAGCATGGGATGACTGGTCCCATGATTCATGGGCCGCCAGCGGCTCGAAGAGCCGTATCTGCAGGAGCCGTGGAGACACCCACATCTGCTCGCTCACGCTCAGCGTCTCAAACCAGATGGGAACCAGGCATGCCTCTCCCACCTCCGCCACCAGGGCCCCCACCCGCTTCAAGCAGGTCTCAAAGCGTACAGTCAATAGATAGGAATACAGTGCCCATCATATCTCCTCCTACTAAAAGACGCCGACCACCTACCGGTGTCACAGAACTCGGACCTGTTCCTCCAACACCTGCAGATTGGAGCGAGACGGGGAGTCAAGCAGGCCCCTCAAACCGAAGCCGCTCACCGGGTCTCAGGATTGACACGTCGCTACCATCCACCCAACCTGTTGAACCTGCTCTGGGGTCCTCATCGAGTATTGGCGGGCTCAATCGGCAAAAGGCAGTTAGACATGATAAAACGATTTTGCAACGCAGGGCTGAGAGTCGGACCCGACATAGTGTCCGCGGCTCTATAGATGAACGGACTCGACCCGACTCTATGGCCGACATAATAGTACCAAATACCACTGATCTGTCACGGACATCAATCGGTAAATCGACCCCTCTGAGTGGCGCACTCGCATCGCAAGACTCTCGAAACTCGACCCCTAGAGCCCCAGCATCAGGGAAGCTGCCTCAGGAAGCGGAAACTCCCCCTTTCTCCCCTAACGCTTCTAAGCAACCAATGTATGCCAGCAGCTCAAAGGTTGTTGCTCCAAAAGCGCTCCCTACCCCGCCTCCTAGATCCGGATCCGTGGCATCAGTCTCGAGGGTCAGGGAGTCTTCTCGGCCCCCTTCCGCCGGCATGTTGGTATCGAAACATTTGGTCACGACTCAAACTGCCGATCAGTTTGAAGAAGGGACTATCGATCGGTTCCGCGAATTTGCGATTAGAGAATCGCGAGCCGCTACTGACGCGGATAGGGTGCGTATGTTCGCCGACTTTGTTGTCAACGAATCAAGGATCAGACGAGAACGATATTCTGTCGCTATTGGGGCTATGGGCTCCGAGATCTTTGACCTCACCCGCGACTTATTTCGGCCGATGGTCAGCCACAGGCGAGAGTCAGCCTCTTCACAAGATCAGTGGACTCCTGGGTTATCCGAACCAGGGCCTTCTCGTCGAGGCTCTATAGGTTCGAACTTGGGGGAAAGTCCTCAGTCTGCCTCTAAAACAGTCAATGTCCCGACGTCGCCGAGCGGGAACAACCCACCAAATGTGAACTGGTCCAGCAATTATATGCCCTCGTTATCGCCAATTTTGAGTATGAGCGTCAGCGAAAACTATGAAAATGGCAGCTCACGGGGTCGTCCTCCGAGCCGTTGGTGGGAGTCAGATTCGCAAGGCGAAGCTTCCCATCTCGGACGTTCCAAGAGAGAGTCGAAGTATATGGGCGTGACTAAAACACAATGGGTCGAGGAGGACCAGCCGTCTGTGGTATACGAGGAGCCAGGCTCTTCATCCGAGTATCCTCCTGAAAAGACAGGCTGGCATGATCAGTCGGAGCCCAACTTGACTCCTCAACAATTTGGCTTCGCCACCACGTCAAACATGGGCTCTAGTCCCTGTTCGACGATCAACCGCGACCACTTGGATGTTTCCCGCCTTGTCACTATGCCTCCTCCTTATCCAAGACACCACCCCGCTGTCAATAACAAACATCCTGAGTTGACATCCATCAGAACAGCTGTGAGAGCTCTGAGTCAACTAGATGAATTGGCCAAAACGAAGGAACGGTTCACTGTCGAAAGCACCAAACGTCGAGAGCAATTTTCCAAAGCAGCGTCTGAGCGCCGGCAAGCTTTGCGTACAAACTTGCAGAATGAGATCAATGCTGGCAGCTTAAGTTATGCTGATGCAGGAGCTATTGATGCTGATGCAAAGGCCAGCGAGATAACAAAGAAAAAGGACTTGGAAAAGTCCGAATACGAATTGTTCCAGAATCAGGTGGTACTGCCTTTGAATGAACTACTGACAGGGCGTATCTCAAGTGCCACAGAGCTGTTTGACGATCTAGCCCAGCATCTATTCGATAATGGGCAGATAGACGCGGACATGCCGCAGGAGGAGGGCGATGATAGACCAGAACTCCTGGAAAAATTGACGCTGCTTAAATGGGTCTTCGAGGCACGAGAGAGTCTTTACCGTGCCATCTACGACCTTCTTTCAGATCGCAACGGTCGATATTGCGAGGTTGTACTGACTCCTTACCGACTTTCGGGGAATACTGAGAAGCTCAAGTCAGCTGAGGCTTTCTTTGCTGAAGATGCTGCCAAGCGTGAATATGCGTTCGCTCACGAGGTTCTGGAACGGACCCGAGACTTCCGAGGAGTGGTTGAAAAGGCTGTGGATCATGGTGTTGCACTGCAGCTGTCGGCGTTTTGGGATATTGCGCCTCCGCTTTGTGAGCTACTGGACAACATTCCTCTGGATCTGGATGGCTTCAACATTCAGATCCCAGCATCGGAAATTGAGGAAAATCCATCCTACGTCGAGCATCCGATGCAGTATCTTTTTAGCTTGCTGCTTCACGCCGAGAAGAGCACGTATCAGTTCATCGAGTCGCACACCAACCTGTTGTGTCTACTTCACGAGGTCAAAGAGGCTGTGGTTCACGCCAAAGGCAAGGTCCTGGAGACGCAGACTCAAGATGAGAACGGAAACGCGATTCCCAAGGCAGATAGCAATGCACAGGCGGTGCAGATGCGACAATCAGAAGAACGTCGACTTACCGAGGATCTGAAGGAAAAGGTCCGTCTCGTTCAAGATCAATGGAAGAGCGCATTAGGCGATAACATTACGCTCGTGAAAGAGCGCCTGGGAGAGTGGCTGTTGCAAATGGGCGGCTGGGATGAGTCGCTCGAAGACAGAGGTGTGGGCAGTGTCTAGAAGGCCGAGTGAAGTGAAGTGAAGCAAAGTGAGTAGAAGTTGATACCCCTGAGCCAAATGGGCTTGATGATTGGAAACGCTATTATTCTGTATATAATTTGTTGATCCTGGACCAAAGATGTCCTTTTATATGAGATATGATGATGATATGGTTGTTCCTTATAATCGAGTGATGCTCGGGTATTGCGTCTGTGTCTTTTCTGTTCTGTTCCATACACTTGTTTGTACACTGAAGGGTTTGATCTGAATCTCAGCCATTTTCTTGAGTGCCGGATGCCATCTGGCCTATTTTCCCATCTGTAGATTCACTGTTGGAAATTGCTTGGCGTGGTGTTTAGATTCATTCGACGGGTCGATAAGTCATGGTCCGTTTGTCTTTGACGATTCATGGCCCCGGAAACCCTTTTGCATCCCCTTCTCCCATCTCCCGTCTCTTTTCTCATTTTGATTTTGCCGTCAATCATTTACTTGTACTCGACTGGCAAATCCATGCCGACCCTCCTGGCAGTCAAGCGAACACGCTCCTCCTCATCCATACCCATACCAGGGTTATAACGCTCGAGTAATGTGGCATACATGCGCTGGGATCGAAGATATGCGATGGCCTGGGCAGCGGCGTGGGCACGGGCGTCTTGCGACGTCGCCGCCTTGGAGCTGGAAGAAAAGGAATCTCGAAGGCGGGAGTGAAGAGGAGAGCGTGGTGAGGCGAGAATTGGTCGAGGTGGTAGCTCGCGAAGGAGGGAGCGGTAGAGAGAGCGTAGTGAGGCTGGAGAAGAGGCCATTTCTGGTGACAGTTGTTGGTTGGTTGGTTGGAAGCAAAAGAGGATTGATCGTGTTGAATGTCGAGTTGAGATGACGCCTTGAGATTGATTGTATGAACTGGGCAGAATTGATGCTTGAAAAGTCCGGCCAATCGGGTGGTTCCGCTATGAGCAGGGGAAGAAACTGTTAGTGAGATGGGAGAGTGAAAAGCCCCTCCTCATCGATATCGGAGTTCTGATGGCGGGGTCGGCTTGAGAGAGCTACAAATACCAATTAATCCTGCCATTGCACGACTACCTAGGTACCTACCTTACCTTGGCAACAGAGCCTCCGTTATGGATGCATATAATGATAAATCTAACTTGACTTTTCCGTTTAACATATTCCGGGTTCTTCTGAGTTGAATAGTAATCCAATTGACGCATTCGAGCCGTATTCAGATTACACAATCACTGAAACAACACTTTCAAACGTCGCAGCTTACATACTCAGTTCTCACTGAGGACTTCTCAACAGCTCATCCCACTTCTTTTTCTCTTCCTCTTCATCTCTCATATCAATCAATCAATCATTCATTCATTCATTCATTCATTCAACCCGCATCCCACTCTAATTAGACCCAATTGCCTTACTCTAGAGCCCGACGACCCGCCCGACGACCCGAAAGAGACCAACCAGTGTCTGCTCTAAGCTCTAACACCACCATAAAAAACACAAGGACAATTGCGCCATCCCACGTTACTTAGTACCTAACTACCTTACCTTATTAGCCCCTACATTTCATTGCGTTGCCTTGTATGCCCACTGCTACTCCAAAGTTCTTCTTCTCTAGATCCTTTATTCTTTTCTTATTGACTCTCATCCTGGCTATCCTTATTTCGCCGGCCTTCATTCCCCGTCTCCGCCAACTCTCTTCCCACCTTATCCTTCTCCGACGACCGCTCACAACCATGGCTTCTCCATCCTACGCCTCAGAGCTTCAGATCGCCCAATTGGCCGTTCAGCGTGCTACGATTCTCACCAAGCGCGTCTTTCACGAAAAGGCAAAGGGAACTGTTGATAAGAATGATAAGAGCCCTGTCACCATTGGCGACTTTGGCGCCCAGGCCCTCATCATTGCCGCTCTCCGCCACAACTTCCCTGACGACGCTATCGTCGCCGAGGAGGAAGCTGCGCAGCTCCGTGACGATGCAAACCTGAAGCAGACTATCTGGGAACTCGTCAGCTCTACAAAGCTCGACGATGAAGATGCTGAGAAGCAACTCGGTGGCCCTATTAAGGATGTTGACGATATGTTGGAATTGATCGATAGAGGTGGCAGCCAGGGTGGTTCCAGCGGTCGTATCTGGGCCATCGATCCCATTGACGGTACAAAGGGCTTCCTCCGTGGTGGTCAATACGCTGTCTGCCTTGGTCTCATGGTTGACGGTGACGTCAAGGTCGGTGTCCTTGGCTGCCCTAACCTCCCAGTTGACGACTCAGCCCGTCTTACCTCCGACATTGGCTCCAATGCCACCGATGAGGGTCGTGGTGTTATCTTCTCTGCTGTGCAGGGCCATGGCGCGAACAGCCGACCTCTTGCTTCTGGCGCTCTTGCTGCCGAAAAGCCCATCTCCATGCGAAGCATTGATGATCTGTCAAAGGCTACCTTCTGCGAGAGTGTCGAGGCTGGCCACTCAGCGCACGACGACCAGGCCCTTATCTCGAAGAAGCTCGGTATTACCCAGGAGAGTGTCCGCATGGACAGTCAGGCTAAGTATGGCTCTATTGCCCGCGGTGCTGGCGACATCTACCTCCGTCTGCCTGTCAAAGCCACATATCAGGAGAAGATCTGGGATCACGCTGCCGGCGACCTCATTGTTCGTGAGGCTGGCGGCCAAGTAACTGACATTCACGGAAAGCGTCTCGACTTCAGCGTAGGACGCACTCTGGCCAACAACAAGGGCGTCATTGCCGCTCCTGCTGCTGTTCACAGCAAGGTTCTTGAAGCTGTCCAGGAGGTTCTGAGCGCCAAACAGTCATAAGGGAAATGAATAGGGAAACAAACGGGCATGACTTGAATGAAAGAGAGAATTGCAAAGAAAATGTAGTTTTGTATATGCCTCGTCAAATAGTACACAGAAATCTGTACATGATACTAGAATACACACGCCAGCTGCGTCCAATAGGCCAAGCCACCGAGCTGGCCACTATAAATTCCCACATATCATCTCTCTATTTGATCTTCTTCTGCTTCAGTTTGATCGTCTGGTCGTTAATAAACACGCCTTTGCCCTTGTAAGGCTCCGGAGGACGCCACATGCGAACTCGTCCAGCAAACGACATGATGGTCTCGCGGTCAATTCCCTCAATCAGGATACGTGTAGGCGCAGGAGTCGTTACGGTCACGCCGCGAGGGATACCCTCCTCGACGGGATGAGTGAACCCGAGCTTGAGGCACAGGAAGCGCTGCCCAGGGAATTCCTCTTTAGCACCTCGCTCTTCGACACTCGCTCTGTAACCGACACCGACAAGACGGAGAATGGCCGTGTGCCCTTCCGAGACACCCATGATATAGTTCTTTAGGTAAGACCATGTGGTTCCTATCCAATCGTCAGTCCCAATGCCATCAAGCGTGACGATAACTGGTGAACATACCCCACATGGCTTTTTGATCCTTGGCATCAGTGTCCTGGACATTCAACGATACCACCTTGGCCTCGGGATCTTGCGTCACCTGCACATATTCCGGAACTTCGAGCTCAAGCTCTCCTAACATCCAGTCAGCGATTTTCCCCCTCGTTTCTAGGTGCCGTTCTCTCATACCCAAAGGTCCCTTTACAGTGATGGTTTTCTTGTACACCTTCTTGTATGATGTCAAATCCTTGTTCGCCACCGGCTCGCCAACAGATAGCTCTACGCCAGGAGGGATCGATAGAGGGGTTCTTCCCAGCTTGGATGGTCGCTTCGAGGTCGTGGAGAAGAGGGCAGTGGAGGCTCGGGAAGATGCGATCTTAGGTGCTGTCGCTTGCCATGCTGGCACCAGGAAGCTAGGGAGGTTGACAGGGCCAGACGATGAGGCCGCAATGGCTCGTCCAATTGCCCTCCCCCGACTGGGAGTAAACATGGCGGCCATTGGTATCGAGATGGCTGCCGTGGGCGTGCAGCAGTATTGACTCGTCGAACGAGGTTGACAAGCTGATGGAGCTCAACTTTTCGCGCTTAGTCATGACATCACGTGCTCAGCATGACAACTACACCAAGGGTCCGTCGGTCAATGTGGTCCGATTGCCGATGCTTAACTTGATGTCACAGAAACATTTCGAGTCCTCGGCGAAACTGGCTTGTGACCAGTTCGAGTAAGCCGGTGCTAGTTTCACCATCTTTGAGAATTGAATTGGTACAATAGTACTCTTGGAATTTCATTCGGCTCATACAACTATGGTGTACTGCCACTATTGAGGATATCTTAACCCCAGAATTACAACAACTACACTCGAAAAGAAGTTGCAGGCCGGCTATACGACAAACATAACATAGCGGCCAGTTGTTTCAGCACACTGCGGAGCAGATTTACTCCTCGCCCTCGGGGAGCTCCTCCTCGTACTCCTCTTCCTCCTCATCAATACCAGCATCCTGGTACTGCTGGTATTCAGAGACAAGATCGTTCATGTTGGACTCAGCCTCAGTGAACTCCATCTCGTCCATACCCTCACCAGTATACCAATGCAAGAAAGCCTTGCGTCGGAACATGGCAGTGAACTGCTCACCAACACGCTTGAAAAGCTCCTGGATAGAAGTGGAGTTTCCGATGAAGGTCGAAGACATCGTAAGTCCTCGTGGAGGGATGGCACAAAGGGCTGTCTGAATGTTGTTGGGAATCCATTCAACGAAGTAAGAAGAGTTCTTGCTCTGGACGTTACGCATCTGGTCCTCGACCTCCTTCATAGCGACACGGCCACGGCTGTGCAAAGTCAGTAAATAATTTCCATGTACAAAATCGGGTTCACTCACAAAATGGCCGAGCAGGTCAGGTAGCGACCATTGCGGAAGTCCGAAGCAGCCATCATGTTCTTGGGGTCGAACATCTGTTGGGTCAACTCAGGAACGCTGACAGCGCGGAAAGAGTGGGCACCACGGCTGGTCAGAGGAGCAAAGCCAACCATGAAGAAGTGTAGACGAGGGAAAGGCACCATGTTGACGGCGAGCTTTCGGAGGTCGGAGTTCAGCTGACCGGGGAAACGGAGACAGGTGGTGACTCCGGACATAACAGCAGAAACGAGGTAGTTGAGGTCACCGTAGGAGGGGTTGGACAGCTTCAGGGTGCGCATGCAGATATCGTAGAGGGCCTCGTTATCGATACAGAAGGTCTCGTCGGAGTTCTCGACCAGCTGGTGGACGGAGAGGGTGGCATTGTAGGGCTCGACGACGGTGTCAGAGACCTTGGGAGAGGGAACGACGGAGAAGGTGGCCATCATTCGGTCGGGGAATTCCTCGCGGATCTTGGAAATGAGCAGAGTACCCATACCGGCACCGGTACCACCACCAAGAGAGTGGGTGATCTGGAAACCCTGGAGGCAATCGCAGCCCTCGGCCTCACGGCGGACGACGTCGAGGACCTGGTCGACAAGTTCGGCACCCTCAGTGTAGTGACCCTTGGCCCAGTTGTTTCCAGCACCGGACTGACCGAAAACGAAGTTGTCGGGACGGAAGAGCTGACCGAAGGGACCAGCACGGACGGCGTCCATGGTACCAGGCTCGAGATCGACGAGGACAGCTCGGGGAACATACTTGTTGCCAGAGGCCTAGATGTGTGAGCTTGGGAACTCTTTTACGTTGGCTGCTAATGCATACCTCGTTGAAGTAAACACTCATGCGCTCGAGCTGAAGCTCTGAGGTACCGTTGTAGACACCATTGCTGTCGAGGCCGTGCTCGCCAGAGATGGTTTGCCAAAAAGCAGCACCAATTTGGTTACCCTGATCAACACTGTAAGTATCCCCCGCATGCGACGTTGAGGAAGCGATGAGCACTTACGCACTGACCGGTCTGGAGGTGAACCTATCGTAGAGAAAAGATCTGATTAGCTTCTTCGTCTTGAAAGAAGGTAAGTGAAAGCTGCTAGCTATCTATCATGCATTGTCGTTGAGCTGCCACTGCCCAGCGGGGTAGAATAGAATCAGGGGCACGATAAACTCAACGCGTGCAACAGCACAACACGAACTTAAAAAGAGAGGTACTTACAATCTCACGCATGTTGATGGATGTGGATGAATGTAATCTGGAGGAGTAGAGAGAAGGAAGAGAGAAATGGGCCGAAGTCGTCGAAGAGCTGAAGTAGACCTAGCTTTGACGGAGGAGAAGAGTGGGTTGGGTTGGGTTGGAAAGAGACCAAAGGGCGATGTTGATTTTTGTTTGGAGCTGGAGAGCACCTCAGTCAAGAGGGTGAAATTGTTCACCGCCACGGCTCCAGGGCCCAGCAGGGGGGTAAACAAGGGGCAGGCTGGTTCCTTCCAGGCTATTGGACCAGTAAGCACTCTCAGTTGTTTACCTCTTGATCCGTGCACGCGTCTAGAAGGGCAAGGCGCCGCCTGAAGGGTCCCGCAGTGGCAGGCACGCCAATGAATCCGCACCTGTCACTGCCGATGGAGAGGAGGAAATAGCAGCCCGCCATTTTATCTCCAGATGCATAGGTAGGTATTAACTAAGTAGTACCTAACAACCCACGGTATATATGTATGTGGTAAATTCTTATACTACAGCAGAGATGAAGAAGAATATACCTATAGAATTCTAGCTTATATAGGTATTTAGTAAGCTCAGTTGCCCCGAATCGAACCCTTGTTAAAGTTACAACTGGTATGTACGCGCCGTTGAGGTCAGCCACGTTGGCAGCCCAGTGTGTGAAGTAGGTATCGCCAGATCGCCAATGGAACTGATGGAGTGCCAGCAAAACTTGCCCCACTGGTAAATTGGCGATTTGACCATCCGAGATGAACATACGGCTGCGGACGATCAGAATCAAAAATGAGGCGATAACACAGTAAGAGAACATGCACAGTAGAAAATACCCACCAGCGAAGCAAGACTCCAATTGCACTGAACGCTTTCAATTTGCATCATTTCTTCCTTGATGTCCATTGGTTAGGTAGGTTTGGGCACATTGATGTTGATCTGGATGTATCTCAGGTACCTAAGCTGCGGAGGGAACAAACCCAATATCTCAATCACCCAGGACAAAAAGACTGATGTAATGGTTTTCAGCATCTTGGTGTAAGGTCGGAGGTTATCTTGTTCCCTGAGGCTCGAGTGTTCAGCTTGAATTACTACATACCGTATAACGCTCACACTCGCCGGCAGTCAGGTGAAGGGGACCCAAATAACGTGTGAGGAATCCATATGGTATAAAAGATGAGATGCTAGACGAAACACTTGAGTTCACCAGGTTGCATTGATTCGAGAAAAGAGACACAACCCCTCAGAAGAATCAAGCATTACCTATGCAAACATCGAGGCAAAGTCTACAGTTACATAACAACCAGTAAGCAAGTCCTGCTTAGCCAAGTAAAAGTAAAAAGTGTTTACATACTATATGGAGTTGTTACCCATGGTTAAGTGGGTGTACATCACCTATGTCTACTGATCTAGTTCTAGGATGCTCTCTACTAGACAGCAGCAAAGTTCATGATGTAAATTCTCCTTGGAAGTCTCAAATTGTCACGAAACACATGGACTCATGCACAACTGAATGGCTCTGAAGGAGACTACTTAGGGGTGAAAGAAGAGGTTATCCTGTAACAGGTATAATTTGGAAAGCTTGGGGGGATCTATTGTGCTCTCTCTGCAGTATATGTTGCTTGGAGGTTCCTTTGAGGAATAATATGTCAACACCCATAAGCCACCTCTCAAATCAAACCTGGTCCATTTCTCATGATTCGTAAAAGTCTGAGGCAGAAGCGACATCTCTTGTGCGCAAATGACCATTTGGTTCTCCTTCACCTTGTATTCATGTCTTCTCTGATAGACTTCGCATCCATGTGAACCATC